GCACGTATATTAGGAAGAATAGACGGGGTTACCCACATACACGAGACTTGCTATACGCAGTGAGGTGTTGTTGGTCCGGGATAGGCAACTACAGTATGTGACCCCGTACAACAACGACTAACCACAAAGGATTAATCGCATTGAGTGCAGCGGGCGCGCGCGGGGAGATCTTTAAGGCAAAGACTCGAAGTAGCAAAGGACGGCCCTCAGTATCCCAGCTCTCTAACTTGGCACCGTACAGGCGACCGTACCATACTAGTAGTCAGAGTCGAAGTCGATTTGGAAAGCAAACGATCGGAGGTGCCTGTGCCAGTGATGGAGCGGCGGCTGGTGATATAGCGGACAGCAGCGAACAAGGGTGGTGGTGGTTTCAGCTCGAGACAAGGCCCTGAGAGTTGCGCAGCAATAATAGAATCATGGACTACCGCCGTCCCTCATCGTGACTAGAAAGGGACATCGTGGTCCGACTCGGCCTCCGAATCGCAGGCAGGAGAGACAGTCGAAACGTGTCAGAGTTGACCCCACGTGGGTATCCCGGCATAGAGATATACCCCCGGATGCACGACGGAACGACTAATCGGCGTTAAGGGAACGTTAAGGCCTTACAGTCTGTAAAAGAACGACTGCGACTTATTTTCTTGGCCAGATCTGATCTTGTTTCATAGACGTCCATATTTCTCTCTTTTCTCGGTCGGTCAAGGAAAAAAACGAATGTTTGGCGATATGCCATATTCAGGACCTTGGCAAGCATAATTTCAAAAAGTTGGCCAGAGGAGCCCGACAAAGAGTATGATCGTGGCGTATCCTCGTGTGTAGCGCCACGATGCGTCAGACGGTGCCCTCCCGATTGTCGTCTAGAGAGCGCAAGGACGGTGCAAGGACTCGGAGTAGTCTCGGCTTCTGCGGGCCGCACTTCCGATTGGGGCAAAAAACTTGCAGAAGAGCCGCAGAAGAGGACGATTGTGATACTCGTGTTCCTAACTAAGCAACATCCAAGGTGACGTTTACACAATAATGCTACAAAAGTGGTGAACTTCCGGAGCAAGCGTACATACAGTTCAAACCCAAGCCCCAGGTTGCAAGGTTTGCCAAGAGCCAGAATCACCGCCAGAATCATCTGAACCCTTCTACCTGCGAACCACTGGCCATCAGCACAGCCTCACATTCTACGCCCTACGCCCTGATCTCGACTCTGAATAGGTCCTGCCACACATCCACAGAGCACGCGTCCTCGTCCTCGTCTCCGCCCACACAAGAAACCTCGAACGTCTGTAACGACTGCGACGGCGGCGGACACCCAAACTCTGCAGAATGCAGCCGCAGCGCACCACCCGGCCGCACGTCGAAACTGGAGACGTGCGCCTCGCGCTGGGGCCGCGAATCCCAGTTTGTGCTCCATGTGCTCATGTCTGGCATTGACTGTCCTAGCGACCACACTTGTACCTGCACGGCCTTGCCCGCAGCTTCGAGCTGGCGCGCCAGCGTGATGCCAGATGTGACCGCACATCGCGCACCACGTGGCGTGTCGTGTGGCATGCGGAACTGGACAAGAAGAGAAACCTATACAATAAACCAAACCAGAGCCAAGCATTTTCGGCGAATGAGCAACGGACGGCAACGTAGAAGCGCACAATGCACTACGTACGGTGTTGTCGACAAGGGTTGCCGGCCCGCAGGAGGACGGGCGCCCTATGCTCCTTGGGGCCATGGTGATATCCCCACTCCTCGATATTCGCGCAAAGACGAGGTCGGGCGTCGCGTGGCTGACAGGTTCTAGCGTACTAGAAGCTGCATCGTCGATAGTCGGTGGCTGGTGCCCGGTGCGGTAGAAACCCTCGGAAGCCGTGAGCATGCCCAGAGACTCGGAGCTGAAGCGCGTCCACGAATTTGGGTACACCGTGCCGGTCAGGAGGAATGAAAGGGTGAGGACGGATACTATCCCGCCGAAGAGGAGGAGCCATAGCGGGAGGCGCCATCGGCAGTCTGAGGGTTAAATTAGGGTTGAGATAAGATGAGTGTAGGATCACGCAACGGTTTTCCTCCCGGATGACTGGAAACCCGTAGAGATTCGACTCGTGGTGGTGGTGGTCGTTGGTATGGTGGTGGTGCGAGGACATGGGGAAAGGGCCAGGGGAATGTCGCCAGGTTGGTGGGGGTGGACTTGTAATAAGGGAAGGAGTGAGCATCAGCTAGCTAGTCGTGTGCGAGGGGCGAGGCGAACGAGGTTAAAAGAAAAGAGTCCGGTATCGGGAGAAAGTCTAAGGTACGTCAGATTCATGTAAAAAGTATGAGCCGATGAGGATTACCGTATGCATCTCAAGGCTCTCGTCTCGGTATCCCTCGAATTGGAATTCGTTGTGGAGCGTCCGGCGTCTGTTCCAGTCCGCCGATCCGGCTGTGCGCTTCGGTTTCGATCATTTGCCTTAGCGCCGTACGTAGATTATATGGGATGAAACAAGGCTATAAGGGTCATTGTGAAGCCTCGAAACAAGACCGACTCAATTCATCCGACAGCGTGCAGGCGGTGATACTGGGGTGGAGTAATGGAGGACGTGGTGGATAAGGTTTGCTTGGCCAGGTGCCAAGACTTCTGGCACATGGCTGGCAGGATGAACGTTTCTGTCAGCCACCTGGACCCCTTTACGGTTTCAACTTCCTTGGCGTTCACTTATTTGGACGTCCGGAGTCCACGAGAATAAGTTGAGAATCCTCTCTTTTCTTCCACAAAAGTTTACAGGAGAGACATTTGGGCTACAGTAAACTGGTTGCATTCCAAAAGCTTGAATCATTAGATGATCCGAATTCGATTGATACGATCAAGGCCACGTGTCCGGCTGTATTGATTTGTGCAGCATGTCGTGACCTTCTTTCTCCCTCCCTGACTATGCAGGCGGCCGAGTATTGGTGAGTCAGTCCCTTCTGATTCCAATCCCTCATGTGGATCCGCCAGCTGGATACTCTGCGCTTGATCGGTGCACGTTTTCTTTGACGCCATCTATCTTGCCTTATACTTAGTGTTACATCATATCGCGTGAAGAGCCGAGTCACCACACTCAGTTTTCTGTGCGTTGTTCAGTCATCTAGTCATCTTTCATACATTATGGCATGCCGAGCCGTGGCTTGAGGCGCGGGCCCCCAAGATAGAAACCGAGAGACTGTTGAAATTCACAGCAGGAGGTCAAGCTTAAGGCTCTCCCATACATACCCCGCGCAGATTAAACCCCAGAACACAAGCTTGTACCTACTTCCCACGGAGTCATTATCGTACATTAGAGAAGACGCGACACCGCCAAATATTCGTTTCGAAGACCATGGAGACGGGACAAGGAATAAGACAACGCATAGGGACACAGACGGACCAAAGGGAGATTTTTGCTGCTTTTAGTAACGTGACCTCTACCATCATGCTTTGTCACCATCATCGAGTTCGACTCGGATTACGCCAGTCCTTAACGGCGAGATTTGTCTTGAGGTTGGGCCACGGTTCCAAATCTCACTCGGGTCGTCTTGAATACCTTCAATGAACTTCTTCCTTCCCTCGACCGGCAATGCGCGGGCTTCAAGACAATACCTTTTGGCTATCGCATGAGGGGTCTCTGTCTCTCTTTTTGTTATCGGTCGTGAAGTCGTCTCCCTTTTTTGTAGGCACGTCAACGAAAAATGCCCTTGTCGGCTGCAGTGAAAACACCTCCCTTCGCGTCTGTACCGGATCTTGTCTTCCTTGGTGAGGGCCTTCTGCCGCGTGTTAACATCCATCGTGTTCGGGTCTTGCGCCGCCTTTGCTTGGGCTTGCTTCAGAACAAGTTCCTCCTCTTTTGAGAGTGGCGGTGCGTTCAAGATTATAAGGATAAGACGGTACTTTTGGCGGTATTTGCGAGCGGCATCGACCCAATCCTCGAAGCTTGTCAGCTTGTCACGATCAATGCAGCACCGCACCAGGTCGGTAGGGAGTCCTTGCAAGAATAGGTGAATGGAGTAGGGCGCGTTCAGGTCATATAGTGCCTTGCGCGCAAGTTGGCAGAAATCTTGGATGTAAGACTCCAATTCTACTCCTTTCATCTTGAGTTCTTCGATCTCCTTTCGAGCTTTTGCGCGTTCCACGGGATCAGCGAATTCCCTGAGGAAATCCTCCTCGAATACACTCCAGATTTCTTGATCCTCAAGGAGAGCCGAATCGTTCGATACTGCGTCCAACCAGCGTCTCTTGCTGGAGACCCAACTGTCCACACGTTCTCCACGTATATGATTGAGGGTGATGTTGACCCTTTGGGATTCGTCACGGACACCGTTGATAAACAAATACAGTTGGATAGAAGTCAAGAATTCTTGGCTTTCTGTGTAGGTTCCATCGAATATTTGGTGTTTTCCACGTAGCACTCTGGCAGCCATTAGGGTTGTGGTGGCGGTGGCGGTAACTTTTTGCGGGACGGTTATCGGAATGGAATGGTGGAGAGCGAGGTATTGCGAGTCTCGTGGGTCCACAGAAATGAGTGGCTCGGAGTGTGTGGGTTGATGGTGCCGTGGGTAGTCTGCTAATGTTTTGCTAACAGGGGAGAAATCGGCTAGAGATGTAGATAACAGGAAATGGTGTCTTGATGCTGTTGAGTTCGTGTAGCGTGGGAGTATGAGCTAGCTATCCTGTGATGACTAGAACTGTAAAGATAAAGATTTGTTAGGATTGACAATGACGGTTTCTATCACGCCCAGAGAGCGTGTCGAGGTTTGGAATGCGATGGCAAGCAATAGGCTCTGCGGAGTGGGGGTTCACAAATAGGAAAACTGAGCCTCGAACTCAGAATCCAAAGCCGATGGAAAGTGGTAGAGAATGAACTCTGGGAGAAGAGCTCTAGGGCTGATCCTATACACTTTGTGTCTTATATGCATGGAGAGCAGTGTGGGGGAAATTCCCACATGAGTCATCGATGAATGCACCACGTGGTGATTCGAATTCGGAGTCATCGTGAGATAAAAATAGCAATCGAGGCAAAAAGAAAACTAATAGCCCACCGCGAGGGTCGAACTCGCAGCCTTCAGATCACCGTTAGGATGACCAACACCCGCATAAGAGTCTGACGCTCTATCCGATTGAGCTAGGCGGGCGTTGATCTGCAACAAAGTATTGCCATACAAGGACCTGGGACGGTCTGATTGCCTTTTGGAAGTAACCGGTAACCGGTAACCTGAAACGTGGGAGTTGAACGTTGAACGTCGAAGGAACGGAGCAAAGTCCTGTTTGTTGCTTTGTTTGGCTGTTTTTCTTTGGCGCTCTCTTATCGTATCATATCCGATTTTGATTTATCTATCGGTTTGACGGAAAAGCTGTATGTCCAGGGCCATTCTTGTCTGGAACTCGGACCTGGGGTTCGCGGAGCTATACAACTTTGGCATCGAAAGACTAAACACGTATGACAATGCTCTGCTAAACCATCTCTCCGTGGGCGCCCACAGTAACACTTCTTCCTATCTCCCGATAACGTTTTTTTGTTAAATTGGGCATGTGAACTTCATTTCCCACTGACGAAATCCCCGTCTCCCGAATCTTGCCCCTTCTCTCCTTGGGCCTTCTCTCGTACCTCCAACATGCCTGATCATGAGTATGGCACGACTGACTACAAGGATGAAGATGACAAGAAACTTGAGGCTTTAGGATATGTCCCCTCCTTCAAGCGAGAGTTTAGCAACCTTGCGACGGTAAGTGCACACCACCCTTTTTCTTCGCCGTGTTCCCTTATAGGTGTTTGTGGGATATTTCGTCCCCTTAGATCAGCTTTGCCTTCAGCATTATGGTGTGTACTCCATCTCGCCGTACTTAAGGTCTTACCCACTGATATTGGTGTAAAGGGCCTGTGCTCATCTATCGCGACTACATTCAATACGCCGTTGCTCTTGGGTGGTCCTTCCTCGGTACGGCGACATGCCCTACACATATCCGTCCATGTTTCTATTAGAACGTTCTTAATAGGTAACGTGGTGCTGGATCCTCGGAGCGACCATGTGTTTCACCTTAGGCGGGTTCCTTCCTTTGCCTTCTTACTCCACTGTTTTGACACCGGGCCGGAATACAGGGGCGTCAATTGCTGAAATCGTCAGCGCGTTCCCCGCCTGTGGCGGTTTGTGCGTCATTACTGGACTGCGCCTCATCTCCTCCGCTCAAACGGTCATGTGATTAGATACACTGCGTCCGCCAAGCTCGTACCAGCGAGACACAGGCCCATTGTAAGTACATTCTGTGTTCGCACAATCCTTGTCCTTATCCTGGCGGAGGTTGGCTGGCTTGTTGGCTGGCTCAACATTCTCGGCCAAGTTGCCGGGCTTTCTTCGACCGAATACGGACTCTCGACCATGATCTGGGCTGCCGTCGTTGTCGCCAAGGACGGAAACTACGAGGTCACTTCTGGCAAAGTCGTCGGCCTCTTTGCCGCGCTATTGATCTTTCATGGGGTCTTGGTATGTACAGTTCAGGCTATCTAATTGTTTAAAACAGCTCCCGACGTTTATGGTTGCGGACCATCTATGCTCCCGTCGTGTAGAACTCCCTTGCGACGCGTCATCTCGCGAGATTCACGAAAGGATTCGTATTCGTCAACCTTGGCGCATCCGCTCGTGCGTAACGGCAGCTCCACCAGCCCGTCTTGTTCATATTGATGACCTCCATATATAGTTATTATCATCGTCTTGCTAGCGACGACAGCGCGCCACGACATGCACTCTGCAAAGTATGTGTTTGGTTCAGAAGGTATCGTCAATCAGACAAACGGGTGGAACACTGGGTTGGCGTTCTTATTCGGACTGCTCAGCGTGCAATGGACGGTTAGAGAATATTTCCTTCCCTAATTTACTTGAACTGACGAGCCATTCGTTTCTTGATCCGCAGATGACGGTATGTTCTGAGTGCAAAGTCTCAAAGTCCTGCATCTCAAAGGATTTGAACAGGATTATGACGCCACAGCGCATATTTCGTACGTGAAGAAAAAGTTTTGGCTCGGATTGCCTTTGCTTACGTCTCTATAGCGAGGAAGTTAAGCGCGCTTCCTATGCTGGTAGGCATGGACCAGCTTGTAGCGTTCTACTTTTTTCTAATTCTCCTGGTTTCCAGCGCCGGCCGCTATCGTTATCGCTGGTGAGTAACACATGAGGCTGTTCCCTCGGTTCTAAAGCCCGCGTTATAGTTATAGGGACCGGTCTCCTTGGCTGGCTACTTAACATCGTGCTGGTGCTGTGCTCTGGTCCTTTGTGCGTTCTGGACCAACTCTTTCTTTACATCGTCCGGTAACATCTCTTTCAGAGGGGACCTTCCCGGCCCTTCTGGGTCTGCTTTCCTTCAGGTGTGTGACGGGTTTCTTTGTGCGGCACATGTCTTATCGATATACCCCTAGATCATGACCTTGCGCATGGGAAAACCCGCGGCGCTGTTCCTTTGGGTATGTGTGGCAAGCATTTATTTGGGCGTTACTGGATTGTCTCCAGACATTTGTCTGCCTCACAGCCTTCTTCGTTTGTCAAACCGCTCTCCAAGCTTGCTCCCGGATGGTTTTCGCTTTCAGCCGGGACCGCGGTACGGAACTTCTCCCGTCCCCGTGCTAACTGACACTCACCCGTGAAATCGCGCCTATGCAGGTTTCCCCGACAATGGTTACTTTGGCTACGTTTCCAAGTCGACACACACACCCCTGCGTGCCATTTGGTTCACCACGATCTTCAGCATTCTTCCCGGCTTGTTGGGTCTTGCCTCTCCTGTCGCAGTAAACGCAATCTTTTCACTCACCGCCATGGCACTCGACATTTCATACATCATTCCGATAGCGCTCCGCCGCATCTACCAGCGTCACCCAGAAGTGCAGTTCAAACCTGGACCATTCTACCTGGGAGATGGCTGGTTCGGATGGGTGATAAACGTCAACTGTATCGTGTGGACGCTATTCGTGTCGGTGATTTTCTCTTTGCCGACAGTTCTACCCGTGACGAAGGACACGATGAACTACGCGGCAGTGATTACAGGTAGCATCGCCCTTCTATCTACGTACGTGAACTTCATACGCTTCCTTTTCTGGCGTTATGCTGAGATGTCTTGTGTGACAGGATCTGGTACTTCATAGAGTACGTGGTACTCTGCGAACACAGTGCACAAACAGTACTGACTTGCTTTTCACAGCGGTCATCGACACTACCACGGGCCCTATGCATACGTCGGCAAAAACGCCACGCAAGCTGCCGCCGCCGAAGGAAGCAGTGAGAAAGACGAGAAGGGCTCTGTTGACGGCAAGGACGAAGGAATCACGATTTCTCAAGAGATCCCTAGTTGACCTTCTTCAAGTTCGGTAGGCGTAGGCGAAGAAGACGCTGCGGGGGTGCGTATAGTAGGAATCATGCACGGTCGTGGTGACACTGCGAAGGAGATACATACAGTACTTGTGATCGTCGTTGAGTGATTGGGTTGTTAGAACGATACTCGCAGAACGTAATACCGAAGAATATCATTTAAACTTTCAATCTTATCACGGGAAGCAAGTTCTCACTTCTTTATGTACCAACATGAATTGGGGAACCCACCTATTTACATAGGGCCCACGCTTCTCGTAAATGTACAGTAGTGATGCTACGACTGGTCTTAATCTTTTGGCTTGTATCCCAGAAATATAAACTAATTTTTAAGCACGTAGAAACGAAAGCAAGCGTAACTTGGGTTAGTGTAACACGAGTTCTCACGTCGCAAAACTTTGACGGCAATACCGATCCACGGGGCGTCTGAACTGCAAATGTTCCACTTGGTATATCTGTGTATTTCGCAAATAAAACCCTTATCCGTTGGCAATAATGATACATAACAAACAAACCCATCCGTCTCCCATCACCACCTCCACGCGACAGCCATCGCACCAACCACAGCAGCAAACAGTGCGAGCGCGCCAGGCAGCGTGGCGCGCAACGACGAGGCGGAATTGCTCCCGGGGCTCGTGGCACCGCGGACGTTCTTCATTCCCGAGTGTCCGCCCGACGTCGCGAGCATGGACGGGTCGATGAAGATGGTGTTGATGGTGCGGGAATGGGCCGTCGTCGGGTACGTGACGGTCGACGCGGGCGAGACGGCGCTGAGCGCGGCACTGGTGAGGAAAACGAGCGCGAAGCCCGGCGCGGGTACGGGCACCGCGCATGCGTTGGCGGTCGTATCGCACTGCACCGTCGTCACGTTCAGATCGCCGACGAGTCGGCCGTCGGAACCGAAGTTGCTGCCGAGCGTCTGTGGGAGTATCCAACCGTGAGACTCAACACAGCTCAAAAAAAATAAAAAATGAGATCGTACTTGGCCCGCCCAGGTGAAATTCCCCTTCGCCGAAACAGAGTTGGCCAAGAGGTACCTTGTGAGAAAAATCGTTTTTAGAAGCGTCTCGTGGAGATTGAATGGGAGTAGTACTTACTTGACTTGCACTTGTGAAGGTGTCGCGTTGTCCTGGCCTGTGGAGCCACCGCCGATAGAGATCGTGGCGGTATATGTTGATGCACCTGTCGAATCTGTTACAAAATTGAACAACGCCACCTTTGTTGGTGCGCCGTTCTCATATACGGCATAAATCGGGGTGTTGATATTTGACGTGAGATCAACGACTTGAGACGTATTGTGCGGGCCCAGAGCTTCGGCCATGACGAGGGCAGAGTAGTAGACAGGCCCAACCGTCCATTGGTGGAACGTGGATTGATTTGTCGGTGGTGGGGTAAAGGGATTGTAGTATGAGTTCTGTCCACCGACGTGGAACAGCGCCGCCGTAAAATTGCTGTACGCCATTGTAAGCGCCCAATCGAGCGCCCAAAGTGCCGCACCGAATGAATTGGAAATTCCAGGAAAGCCGGAACACGAGGCCGTGTTGGTCTCGAACATGACGAACGGCTTCCCGTTCTGAACCGCAAACGCGGTCGAGTTGAGGTAGTACGAGGCCATATTCGTGGAAGCATTGTGCTGTAAATAATTGATGAAGATGTCCTGCGGATTTTGTACGACTCCACCGCGGGAAGGATACACAGCGGCGCAATTGTCATCAGGGTATCTGGAATAGAAGTGAGAAGCCTCAACGCTGATAGTGAGGACTGGTGACTCACCGCTCAAC